GTTGTATTTTTCCTGTCTGTAAAATGGACTGATACTAGAACCTTCAGGGATGTTGCAGAGGTAATAATACAGAAGACTTGGAAGGAAATGTTGCAAGCATAATTTGTAAGAAACTCTCAATGAACATTAAGTGCTATTGTTATTTCTAGCATCACCACCATCGCTACTGCTCTAGGAATACCCCCACCTTGAATCTCACTTTCCTTGTAGGGTCTGGCTGGTCTTACCTGATTCCAAAAGTTACTTGAACATTGCAGATGAGCCATTTACTTCAGCTCCCAGACATTCTCTGATCAGAACTCCTGAACTTCGGGTCTGCAACCTGTGTGTTATACTTCACTTTGGACGGAAGACACATCAGATGGGAGTTTATTATACAGAAACTCATTTCTGCCTCTGTCCAGGCCTGGATTCCACTATGGATGCTTGATGGCCACATCCCTTAGAGCAGATTTGAATGGCATTTGTTCAGAATTGGTCCCATGACTTATGGTGGATTTCTGAGTCCAGCCAAGCCCATTAAAACAGGGCACACATAAAATTTCTTTTGAATAACATATTCCATCAGCAGCATGAGCAAGTGCCTTTCCCCTTACAATTGACATACACAAGCCTTCAGCAGTTAGGGCTGGTTTTAACCAATGTTTCTTGTTGTGGCTGGTCACCATCTTTTTTTTTAAGCCAATAGTAAGCTCTAGCTGTCCCATTTTCCTTGTTCGTCTTCTATCGATCTAAGCTAATCACTTAATTAGCCCAGGCAGGAAGACTTCTGTGGTGTTAAATAACTCTAAAACCCTACTGGAGATGCTCCAATGGCCTGATTGCATTTAACTTGCAGCTCATTTCCTCCAGAGTAAAACATGTTAAATGCAGGATCTGAATTCTCCGATGAAATGGTTCTACTTGTTTTTGGTAGGGGAGGGAATCCATTTATACTGCCTGTTTCCAAAATATGGGTTCTGACCTACCAGAACCAACATCAAAAAGAGGCATGGCTCTCCCTGGCCTGGAAGTGCCATAGAAGGCTAAAGGGAAAGGGTTGCTCTTGGGGTTCTGCTTGTGTGTGTGTGATAGGGCCAGTATCAGGTGCTGTGCTTTGTGGCATCTGTATTTATTTGCTTTGTGCTGCTGTGATAAAATACTCCGACCCAAAGCATCCTGGGGAGGAAAGGGTTAATTTCATCTTACACTTACAGGTCATGGTTTATCACTTAGAGAAGCCAAGGTAGGAATGCAAAGCAGGAGCTTGAAGTAGACACTGAAGCAGGGAAAATGGAGGAGTATTGCTCACTGGCTTGCTCCCAGGCTCATATTCAGCCACCTTTCTTACGTAGCCCAGACTCACCCACCTAAGGATGGTATTGCCTATAGTGGGTTGGGCCCTCCTGTATCAATTCACAGTCAAGAAAATGCCCACAGACATGCTCACTGGCCAAGCTGACAGAGGGAAGTCTTAAACCGAAGTTCTCTTTTCCCAATTATGTCAAGTTCACAACCAAGATTAGCCATCTCAAAATCCACCTTGTTTTGTAAGACAGGGTCTTTTACTAGGACGAGGGTCTTGCTAATTAGGCAATCCTCCTCAGTGTAGGCATTACAAGTGGGTGCTCACATGTCTGGCTTTTCAGTGTGGATTCTGAGGGTCATGCTCTAACACTTGACCAGCTGAGTCTCGCCCCACCTGAGGTTGGGGAACCTGGGTTCTGGCATGCACGCTTGGTGATACAGACCGAGTCTGCAGCATAACACCACAGCTGTCATGATGCCCCTCGAGCTGACAAACTTGTTTTTTTGTGATCTAGCTTCTGGCAAGGAAAAGAACATGAGCAAAGAAGGGGAGCGAGGAAAAAAGGAGGCTGCAAGGAAAATCAAAAAAGAGACTGAGTGGTCAGAGTTCTTGCAATGCTGTCATAATGTGAGAAGGCTGGAGGAAAATGGGGGAGCAGTCCAGGAAAGCCCCAAGAATTCTCAGAAGATTCCCACAGGAAAGGTGTGCTGTGAGTACTCAGTAAATGCACAAGGTATTGACGAAGACTGAACCTCAGCATAGAGTTAACTTTAACTATTCATATAGGGATGCTATTGAGCCTGGCCAGTGGGGACAAAGTGAAGAGTTCTCCCATGGGACACACACTGTGCCCTTTCTCCTCCATTTTGTGAAGCAGCTTAGCTTAGGGGAAAGAGGGAAGCTTCTCAAGAGGACCATGTATTCTTATCACACAACCTAAAGCAAGCCACAAACTCTCTAAGCCTCAGCCTCCTTGACTATACAAAGAAGATATTTTGTTACTGTGGATGGGTTTGCTGAACCCTGAATGTCACACATCTCCTAGTTTGGGGTATATGTAAGATGCTGTATCCACGTTAAAGAAAGGAGAAAGGAAGTAGATTGGTTTTGTGAAGCTTGTTTGATCTGAAGTTTTGGCAATCTCTACCATAATGCCTGCCGCAATGATATTCTGAAAGCAGTGTATATAACATAACAAGGAGGGAGGTATGATGTGACAGACAAGACCAAATTCCAACACATATCCCAACCACCTAGTGCAGGATCTGCTCTACTGAAACAAGGCCTGCTCTTCTCAGGTCCCTTATCTTTGCAGTTCAAACTAAACCAGAGTCTCTTGACACCACCTGGAACAAAGCACAGCCAGCAAGATAGCTTCTAAACAACAGGCCGTCCTTCTCATAGTTCTGGAAAAATGAAGTCCAAGATGCAGGTGCTCAAAGATTGTATGTTCAGTGAAGTCCCACTTGTAGTTCACAGATGGCACCATGTACTTTGGGGGTGTGATGAGGGTGGGCAGCTCTATGGGTAATCTTTGTAAGACATTGTATTCTCATGATCAAACCCTTCCCAAAGGCCCAACTCTGCCTGATCCTATCCCACTATTTCAATTTATGGACTAGGGTGGGGGATGTGGGGGGTGGATAATAACACAGTTCCACAGTAGGCCAGAGAAGACTCATGAGAAATTGGCAGAAACAAAGGAGGAACTTTGCAGGGCTTTGATAGCACAGAAAACATGGAAAACCAACCCAGGACTTGCAGTATGATTCAGCTAATTGTTCCTGTGACTAAATGCTTGTTCACCAGTGCTTCTGAGCCTGTGGGTGTAGAACAGAATTAGCTGCAGAGGCAAGAGCAGGCTTTCAAGTCCTACAGGCTACAAAAGGCAAAGAGTGACACATTTGAGCTCCATGATAGAGGAATGATTTTTTTATAGGGCTTTTGTTTGACTGACCAATCGGCAAACCTCCAGCTGGGGGATTTCTGGGTATATTCCCCATTCCCTCTAGTTCCCTGGTATTTTATCTATTGAACACATTCTTTTCAGATTACAGAGCTTCTAAGATCCAGCTAAGGGAAGAGCCATGATGCCCAGGCTTGAGGACTTAGGAGGCATTGCCAATCCCGGCCAGTGACTAGTCACTGTTTTGCAAAGACATGGAGCAAGATTTTCAACAAGATGCACTGAGTCTATTATTCAAGATCAGAAACAGCCCAGCGCTGAGCACCCTAAGTAGTAGTTTGATTAGAGGGCTTTGAAAGATAAACCCCTTTCAGATTCCTGGAATCAGTGAATGTACCCTTATGTGGGGAAGGGACTTTGCAGATAGAAGTATGTGAAGGTGCTCTTGTGATGATACCAAACGTCCAAGTGGCTATAAGGCTAAGACAGCTGTTCTAAGCCATGTACACACAGGGAGACAGGAGAAGAAACATGAAAAGACTGGCAGTGTGTAGACAGCAGCAATAGGAGACAGTCATGGAACAAGACTTCACCTACAGTCGGATTTGGGACTAATGTTGTCTAAGACTGTGTGAGGGAATAATCTAAGGTTTAAGCCACTTAGGTTCTGCAGTCACAAGATACCAAGGCACTGGGTGTGGCCAAAGCACTGTGTGTGTGACGATGTCAGGCTTGGAGTGGCCAATAAGCCAAAGGAAATTTTCAAAGAGGATTAGTGTTGAAAAGAAAAATGCTATTTTCAGACATTCGTTTCTGTGCTACCATTCACCTGTGCTAATTCTAACCCCCTTCTCTGAAATTTCAGAGCCAAGATCCACTTCCATAATTCCTTGCTTAAAGAATTTATCAAGTTGGAGAATGGCACAATTCCTGAATAGGTACTGAATGGTTTTTTTGCTCCTTCCCTTATATTCCCAGTATTCTGTGTGGGGCTGAGAGATAGCTCCATCAGTAAAATGCCTGCCACAGAAGTATGAGACCCTGTTTGAGTCCAGCACCTATGCTAAAAGTGGAGCATTTTAATCTGTGCCTATAACCAAGCACTTGGAGAGATAGAGACAGGTGAGGCCCTAGGTTTTGCTGGCTGTCCTGCCTAACATAATCAGTGAGCCCCAGGTTCTGGGAGAGACCCTGTCTCAAAAAACATAATGGAGAGCTTAAGATGGCTCAGGAGATAAAAGTCCTTGCTGCCAATCCTGACAACCAAAGTTTCATCCCCAGGACCCACAAAGTGGAAGGAGAGAGCCAGCTCCTGAAAGTTGTGCTCTGACCTCCACAAGTATACTGAGACAAGAAGGCACAACACACACACACACACACACACACACACACACACACACACACACACTAGATAGATAGATAGTTAGATAGATAGATAGATAGATAGATAGATAGATGATGTATAGATATATAGATGATAGATAAGAAAGAAAAGAAAAATTTCAAAACCACAAAACAATGCAAGATTCATGGGAAACTGCATTGTACTCGCTTGTTTCCCATAGCGACCTTGGCTATCTTGAACTCTTCCAACTTTGCTTTTGTGCTCTGGCAGCAGAAGAATTTGACAAAGGAAAGGTTTCTGTGCTATTATCTTACTCAGCCAACGACATTCTCTAATTCTCATCTCTACTATAACCAACTTTTGGCTCACAGGAAACATACTAGCTCCAAGGAAGCAACTTCTTTTATACCTTTTGGAGGTCCCAAAATATCAATTTTTAAGTCAGCCAGCAACACCAGGTAAATATTTTAGCTACCACTTTATTTTCATCCAGGCTAAGGGACAGTTTGGAAAAGGTCCTATTCTAAGTACATAACTGAGAAACTGTGGCAGGCTGTCATTGCTACTGTTTGTGAAGTTAGCCTGTCAGTCATCGTGATTGAAACATAACCCCAGTGGCTTCCACAAGTGCAATAAAATGCTTTGCAAAAGGCTGCAGAACCATGGGATGTAATAAAGTCTGCTCAGCTTCATTTCCAATGCTGCAGAGTCCAGAAGAGCGAGGCCCATTTCCTTATGCCTTGGGATTTGTTTGAGTTACTTTCATGCCTGGAAATGACAGAACATAAAAACAGACATTTAGTTAGAACCGGTAGCATTTCTTTTGCAGCATGGCAATAAACAAAATAGAAGTTTGTTTACTGTTAATCTGTTAGATTGCCGTTAACATTTTATGGAAGATGATATTGATGTGTGGGCAAGCTATATGAAATAAATGATTTCAGGCCTTTTGATGCCTACACTTATTCTCAGAGTTCACGCATTTCCCTTGCCCTTTGCCCATCGCCCACATCACTAAAGGTCAGCAGAATGGACCCTTGAGGTTCCACATTACCAATTCAAACTTATATATAGAGAAAACCAATTCAGACTTGTATGTACTACATGAGAAAGGCGTGCCAAACATTATCATTGTCTAAACTCTCTGCTGAGCTTAAAAACACAGATTCCTGGACTCTGCCCCCCCATTCTGATTCATCAGATCTATAGAGAGGCCAGGAATCTGTTTACAAACAAGTTTTCCATGTGAATGAGTAGAGTTTGGCACCTGGATCTGGGAAATCCAAAGCACTCTGTAGCTGGCAGATACAGCTTTACATAATGGCCAAGGTATCTTAAGGATACATACCAGGCCTCAAACATTTCTACTCACAAGGTTAAATAATGCCCCATCATTATCTAGCAAGAAGAAATTTCTTGGTGGTATAGTGGGGTAGTTTAGATCTAAATCCAGGTGACCATGGACATATATTATATAGCTTTCTCCCTGTCTTCATTGTTGCAGCCTTAATCCCTCTAAACTTCAATTCTTGGCCTCAGTAAAATGGGTGTAATTAGTAACTAGGATGACAGGGCTCAGTAGCCGGGAATAGAGTCACAACCAGAACAAAAGCAAAGTAGGAGGGGAAAGAGAGGGAAACTAAGAATTTTATTTCTTAAAATTTGGGTAAGGGAGATGCCTTGATAGAGGGAGACAGTACAGGTTCTGAGACAGGTATGGCACAGGGAAGTGTTAGGGAATCCACAAAGATGACCCCAACTAAGAATCCAGGCAGTGGTGGAGAGGCTGCCTTTGATGTCCTTCCCCTATAATGAGATTGATGACTACCTCGGTTACTATTCCTAGAGCCTTCATCCAGTACCTGATGGAAGGAGAAACAGGCACCCACAGCTAAACACTGAGCCATACTGCTAGAATCCAGTTGCAGAGAGGGAGGAGGGATGAGCAAAGGAACAAAAACTGTGCTGAAGAAACCCGCAGAAACAGTTGACCTGATCTAGTCATGAGAGCATGAAGACCTTAGTTGAAAGCTGGGGAACTAGAATTGGGCCAAACCAAGCCCTCAGAATGTGGGTGCCATCTAGGAGGCCAAGACAGTCTATGGGACCTCTAACAGTGGAGCCAGTGTTTATACCTGGAGCACAAATGGACTTTGGGAGCCCATCCCTATGGAGGGATACAATTGCAACCCAGATACAGGAAGGAGGGCCTGGGCCCTCCCCCAAATGATGTAACAGACTTCGACAGTCTCCTGTAGAGGGCCTCACTATCCCTAGGGAGGGGGTGGGGAGGGGGTTGGGGAGGAGCATGGGAGGATGGTGAGGAAATGGGGGGATGGATATGTAAATAAGAGTGCTTTTAGAATAAAAAAATTTTTAAAAGAAACTAAAAAAAATTGGGGGAAGGGTAGGGGAAAAGGTGCCATTTGTGGATTTTATTGAAGCATGAAAAATACAGACCCATGGCCCCGGGTGTGAAGAGCTAGCTCTCTGTTTATTTCAAGGGTCTGTTTAAGACTGACTTGGTCTATTCAAACCCACCTTGGTAAGGATACAAACATTGGTCTTTGGCATATAGGGGAGAATTTTCATGAGTCTAGAAACCCATTTCCTGCAAGTTGGTAACAAAGTCAGAGAGCAAAGGGTGTGTAATGATATGTCATCCCTTTGGGATCATGATACAGAGGCAGAGTCACTCCTGACATGGACAACTCTGGGCTTTCCTCTGAACACAGGGCTGTACCATGGGAAGGCGGGAAAGCTGGGTATTGAAACCAGCCAACTTGCTCTCCAGAGAAGAGCCTTGTCTTATTCTCACACGACCCTGGGACCATTTGCTGCTGTTCCTAGCACTGCTTGCCTTGTCTGGAGATATGGGTCATCTTCTGAACATTCATCACAGACTTCATCCTTGAACAATTATTGACTTTGAGTCAGAGGCACCCGTGCAGGCCTGAAAATGGATGTGCCCTCTCTTTTTTTCTGCCTTGCCTGTCTAGGGCAGATTTATGTCCTAGAAGTTTCTATCATTTTATTTTTGAACATTGTGGTCATGTTACTTCCACCACCTCCCATTTTCAGTCCAGCTCTATATTCTCTGGCTCTCCTATACCCCTTTCTCCACAGGAGGCTCTATCAGACCAATATCACTATTCTATAACTCAGCCTTCACACAGCCTTAGCATCTACAGGTCCTTCTGGCTTCTCAATGCCTCGTCTATGGTAGTTTCATTTCCATAGCTGGTTTGGAGCCTCGTGGGAAGCAGTGTCTGCCTTTCATACCCCAGACACTGGGTAGGCTGTATGTCTGTGATGGGGGAGGCATTGAACACACTTATTAAGGGCTTCAGGGTCTACATAAAGCACCCACAAATGTGCCTAGAGTATTGCAATGCTCCTCCTCTGTGGGACTACCTCTCTTGTTTGCCTTATCATTGTTTCTGCCATCTTTGTGATGAGTAAAGACTCAACACTCAGCTAAGCAGTGACAGTTGTGCCTCCACAGTGCAGAATGCAGGTGGGGACATTCCCTTCTCCCCATTTTCAATGGACAGTGTGTCCATCTTCACATCTTCAGTTTCCTTCCATGTCACCTCCACCACTGATGGTAGAGCCTTTCATTTTACCCAGGATGCCAGTCAAAGGATTTGCTGATAAGTAACCAAGGCTCCTAGGAGAGAGTGAGGAAATGAATGGTTCAAACCCTGATATGTTCTAGCCCACTTAGAAAAAATACTTTAAGCAAAGTGAGGCCAGGACACTGATCACAAAGAGTCAGACGAGATGACTATACACATAGGCTTCTGCAGGCAGAGAGCTCAGGGGCCATGCATGCCTGGATTTTCATGTCTAAGTTCTTAATAGACATGGTGTCAGGTGATGCTCCCCCTTCCACAAAAAAATATGCTTGATAGATGACAGGGGGCGATGACATTATATTGTCAGGGCACATTCTTCGGTAGTGAAAGGCAACAGAAGGAATTTTCCATTGCTGTCATAGTATGAGAAGATACATGGAAAAGAAAGCTATGGATTTGGAAGGGAAATTGAAAGGCCTTATGGAAGACCATCGTCAAAGTTTTCAAGAAAGACTCTAGAAAACTTTGCATACATGTCTCCCTGAAGCCCATGGAAGGTTTTGGAAGTTTTCTTGTGCTCTGTATATGGGTTAATGTACAGGTAAAATCACAGGTGCCACTGGGCTGCTGCTCTGTGACTCTGAACTGAACCTTGCTGACTTGTTGAATAATGTTGGCCAGTTCTCCATTACTGTAATGGATTCCTAAGATAAGCAATGTATGAAGTTGAAAGGTTTATTTGGGTTCAAAGTTTTGGAGAGTTTGTCTGTGATCAGTTAGGACTGTGGCTTTGGTCCATGGAAGTTAAAACACATGGCAACCTGGAAGCAAAAAAGGAGAAAAAAAGACTAGAGTCTTCCTGTGACTTCACAGGCCACTCAGTGGACCTCACCTGTGAGGTTCTATCACTTTCATATAATTATAATGCCAGTTTGGGGACCAAGTCTTTAGGGGACTTTGTAGGTCCTAATGGCATGTTCACCAAGCTCCAAAAACCTTTCTCCATGCCCTCTGAATTCATTTAAGGGAGTGCCTTTGCACCCAGTGTATCAAGGAGGCCAGTCTCTCTTGTTCCGACTTTTGTATGCTCAATCTAGGGGAGGTCCTCTTCAAAACTGAACCTGAAGTGACAAATTGCTGTCTCTCTCCTGTAGGTGAACCTGGGTGGGAGCTGCTCACAGGCAAAATACCCTGATAGTGTATAAAGGGAAGGCTCAGACTACAGAACACAATTGCCCTTTATCCTCTTTGCAGTAGTGGTGACACTCGTGGCTGCCTATTGTCATTAGCTAGGGAGGTGGAAACATCCCTGTGCTGTGCCCCTTCTGACTGATCTAGGGTGTGCAGAAACTGTGGAAGAGAATCACTAGACTTGAGAGTGACAAGGTCCTCATCTATCTCCATTCCTCACCTGTGCTTCCATTCCAAAACGTGTTCTGAGTGCAGTGTGGTTTACTGCTGAAGACAGAGTTTACAAAGAGTGTTTGTCTTCCTCACTCACAGGATTGGGGCCTTTACTGTCTTTGCAGGTAGTGACCCTTGTCAATGATGATTAATGACATGGTCTGTTTGGCTTTCTTACCTGGGCTGAGACAAAAGTGGCTTGTTATCTTCTGTGTGTACATGCACTTGTGTGTGCACACATGGAGAACAGAGATCAATGTCAAGTATTTTCTTCAATCCCTTTCCTTCCACCTTATTTTTGAGGCAGTATCACTCAGTGAAACTGGATCTCAGCAATTCCCTTAATTCTTACTGACCAGTGAGCCATACGGATGTCCCCTGATCTATTTCTCCCATCTCTACACCCTTGTGTTGAGATTTCAGGTGCATGTCATTACATCCAAATTTCTCTATGAGTATTGGGAATCCAAACTCAAGTCCTCATGCTTGCATGGCAAGTACTGACTGAACCACCTCCCCAGGCCCAGAACTAGTTTTTAAATTAGGAAACCACATTTACCAATAACAGCCCTGAGAGGCTCACAGAAAAACCTCTCTTTAAAAGGCTCTTCTTCTAAAATCTTACTTCCTAGCAGGCTAGTGAGGAGGCTGAGCAGTCACAGAAAGGCATTCTGCTCACACCAAAACAAGGTGAGCAATTTTCTAAGGGCAGGCCCCTTGACCTCTCTTCTTCAGCTTTTTCTTAATAAACTGGCCTTAAAAAATGTAGCAAAGAGCCGCTGATGG